TGTGATGATGAGTGTGCCAATTGTGTTGGGAATAATAAAGGCCCGAATGAATGCTTTATGATAAGAAGTCAATCAAAGACTTGAAAAAAATTGATATTGCAATAACATTCATTTGAAATTATTAGAATTACTTCGCCTTTCCGTAGGCAGCGACACTAAATGCAAGAAAGTAATAGGTAGGAGGAAGGTATATTTGTTGTGAGAAGTTACTAAGTATATACATAATACATGCCCCCAAATGCCCTGGTACAGCCGAGAGTGAGGAGAGTCCGCTCTCCCTCTCAAAATGCTCTCACATGGCCACGTGTGTACAGCCTCTGCCAGATAAGTCCTACTCACTGTCTTCTCGTGGCGGGGTGTTGTTTACGAAATCGAGAGGACGAAAAGCGAATGTTCAGCGCTTTAACCGGATTCCAAACCAATGGTGCACATGGGCTCCAGTATCCTGCGGGAACAAATGGCGTATGAACCAATCGTTGGTCACCGGCTACCATGGGACTGCATCTCCTCACGACGCTCCACTGCCTTGTGTATCAGACTTTTAGGTCAAAGGCTCGGGGTGTGGCCCCCTTAAGAAAACCACCTGTTTCGGTCTGGGTACCCAGGCAGTATCACAGCTCACACACACACAAATATGGTGTGGCACATATATATTTGGTACCCTTTTGTACAAATATTTGTGTGTTGAAATAAAAATAAAATAAACATAATACATATGCATTTACATCTTTCGGTGTGTTCTGTAATTAGAACTTTAGTGGTCCGATATCTGACCCCAGTTATATCATATAATGATTGCTATCGAAACATACATCCCGACTACCTTTGTTCATAATCAACGACCTAAATCGCGTTAGTGGATAACGGAATTAAATAAGACAAACACGAGAATGGGTTTCGAATACGTATATTTCGTACAATCGTTGATCCAGACAGACGACCAGAGAAACGAAACGAACAAAGAGAATAGAGAACGACACGAAATGAAACGAAATGACGCACAGTGAAGAAGACGATTGAGAAAACTCGTTTTGACGAATTGTGATTCGATATGTTATCAGACAAAAATAATTTACAGACACGTGATGAATAGGGTAAGCAATTAGCACACATACGACCATATAAGTAGTCATGGTTAATAAGCGAATAAGTGACAGTCAAAATGTGACTTGAGATGAATGAATAAAGTGGTCTGTCAAGAAGCTAGAATAGTCTAAATGACTTGATATAGTACCAGCCACTATATAACTGTCTTCTCGTTTAGGCTCCCAGTGCTCTGCTAATGCCACGCTTTCGATGTACTAAAACTCTTCACTCTGTCCTATAACTGTTGCGACTTCGACGCCACATCCCGTTACATATTATTCACAAACAAGCCTGTGTGTAGTATTCACCACAATTTCGTATTTATGTATTCGAACACAAAGATTGGTACAAGATGGCACCAAATACATATGCGTCACACAATAACAATGAAGTTGGGAAGAAATGGAATGTAAAGTGCGTATGATAATAAAAAAAACAACAAACAAAAGTTAGCGTATGAAAGTGAAACAATAATAATAATAATGAAAGAAACAATCCAGTTAGCAAAAATGTAACCAGCAAGAATTCTTTCAATTAAAGAAGTTACGTTCAGTTTTATGAAGAAAGTAGAAGTTACAGCGAGATAATCACCGGTTTTTATTCTGAGTCATATCTGATACCACCTCAAGCCACTGTGTTGCACTACTCTAGAACTCCAACCCTGGAGTCGCGAACGACCAACAGAAACCAGCCCTCTGCAGCTTTCTTTCATACCACGACACCATGTCATACACTGACCACCTATCCGCTTTTTTCGACCAGTCCCAGCATCGGCAAATAATCCACAACATGGATTTTCTGGGACAACATTCGTAGAACATGTCCAAGCCACCAAAGTCGATGTTTCAAGATGGTGACACCAATTGGATTATTGTCTCTGTGCCCGAACACACGATGTCAAACCTCTGCATTACTAACATGGTGTTGCCACTGGATGTCAGCAATCCTTCGGAAACATGATGATCAAACGATGGTCAAACACAGAGAGTCGTCTAACATCCTCAACTCGGAGAGGCCAGGTTCCACAAGCATAGAGTAGAACTGTTCTCACCGACGCGTTGTAGATCCGACCTTTCACAGCCAGACTGACATCAAGAAGGCGCCAAAGATGGCCTGGATCGGCATAAGCCGCTCTGGCTTTCACTATACGTGCATTGATCTCATCACTCATGCCAATACTAGCACTTATGTAGCTACCTAGATACACGAACTTCTCGACTACTTCTATCTGCTCACCATCTAGGGTGAGTACAGGATTAGAATCCTGCCAGTCTTGTAGAAGCACTTTGCACTTCGAAGGTGCAAAGCACATACCGTACCTACGGACACTGATTTCCAACTGATTACGTGCGGACTGCATGGCTTGGGCATTATCGCACAGTAAGACAATATCATCCGTATACTCAAGGCAACAGATCCACACTACATCCATCAGAGCTGTTTTCAGGACATCATCGACAGCAAAGTTGAAGAGGAATGGTGAGATTGGGCAACCCTGCCTAACCCCACTACTCGAATGGAACAATGGAGAGAGGTGGTTGTATGCCCTCACTCTACCTGAGTTGCTTGCATATAGAGCTTTAAAGATGTTAACAAACTTCTCAAATACGTCATTCTTTAATAGACAATCCCAAAGAACAGTCCTGTTCAACGAATCGAAGGCGGCCCTAATGTCAAGAAACACTACGATTGTTGACCCGTATAATGTTGTTCTAACATTTGGCGGAGGATGTTGCCGGGACAGCAGACCAGTCGAAGTGCTCCTCGAAAAACTCTGCCGATTGTCTAAGACGTCGATAGATGTTAGTGATTGGCACCCCGTCATCTTCACAGAATGTTCCACTCACACAAGACTTCTTGCTGCCAATGGCTCAGATAAGTTAAAAGAGCCTCCCGTAGTTAACAGATGAAGCCGCTGCTTCCAAATCATTGGCATGCTCCGACTACAAACCTTCTCAGTCCTCACGCAAGCTTTTCCCAATTCCATTAAGTCCTCGCTTATGATCAAACTCGCGGTCACATGAAGTAGACTGATGGGCTCCGATGAGTTGTAAGGAGTCTGAAGAAACTCAATACTCATGAGCGAGATTTTTCGCGAATCTGCAAGCAACTTTACTCACCATTTTCGTGACACCGTGCAATTGCAACCACTGCTCATCTATACTTTTCGGTGGAATGGTAGCTAGCCTTAAACCTAGCTCGGTTTGATATTTAGTTGCAACAGAAGTTGCAACCAATTTGCTGACAACGATCCGTTTAGGAGGATGAATTTGTTGGCCACTAAAAATGCAAGATTAGCGCAAACAAGGGCATAATCAGAGTCCAGATAGGTAGTTGGTGCTAGCCAGAAACAGGTTGTAGTCCGTGCACAGTTGCAGTAGACGGTCCCCGTTATCTAAAATTGGGACCGACAAGTCCCCGTCGGTCACCTAAACGACTTTCTTCGGTTCCTAGACGCCCGACCTGAGAGTTTAAGCCTCCGGTTAGTATTAAAACCTGTCGAATGCACTTCCTGTAGAAGAACAGTTAACTGGTGGTAAAAATCATCCTCGATCGCATTCTGGATGCAATCTGTCGGAGCGTAGGCAGAGATGACGAAAAGACACCATTTCTCACACCGATTTATTCGCACTTTAATAGAACTTTCTAATCTAAGAGCACACTACCTATTGTTAATGGGGATAATAAGACTGAATGAGAGTTGAAGCGAGTTATTTTATTTTTTTATTTTTATTTGAAAACATAAACATTGGTACACAGAAGCTCCATGTTGATATGCGCCACACGTCGTCATTTGATTTGTGTGAGGGCTGGGATAATGGCCGTGCGCTCAAACTGAAACAAGTGGCTTTCTTAGGTTCCATCCTGGAGCCTTTGACCTAAAAGTTTGATCCACAAGACAGTGAAGCAACATCCGGAGATGCAGCCCCATGGTAACCGGTGGCTAAAGCTCCGGGCATTCGCTGTTCGTCCTCTCAATTTCGTAAACAACAGCCCACCGCGAAAAGGCAGTGAGTAGGACTTCCCTAGCAGTGGTTGTGTGCACGTGGCCATGTGAGAGCGTTTGGCAAAGGAGACAGACTCTCCCCACCCTCGACCGTACTAAGGCATTTGGGGGTAAGAGAAATTTTCCAGTCGTAGTTATCATTGATTTGAATGAGGATTGTGATACTGCCCGGGTGTAATTAACTGCCAGGTTCGTGCCAAAAGAGGATAATTCCTAAACTTGTTTTCGACAAGTAAGGTACAAATTTCTCTGTAAAAAAACTAGGCACGTTTAAACAAAACTACATTTTACACATTTTGAAAACTAGAAAATGAACTGAATTCCATAAAAGAGGTATAAAATTTAGCTAAGTTTAAGACTTTGATCCCAATCAACCCTTGAACCTTACCATCTGCTAGTTTGTGTGACTTTATGCATTTTTAACTGAAAACACTGCGCATAGGCTACGTTTCATACCGTTCAACCTCATGTCTTCTAATGATCATCACGTTTTTCATGGTTACTTCAAAATAATATCATTAACTTATTTGATATGACATTTACCGGTGACTTATTATACGAAACATTATTATATCGTGGATGGATATATATGAATAGATGTAAAGAGATTTTTCAGTTTTTTGCCATGTGATAAAAATCTACCAATATCTTACATCAAAGTCTCTGAATCATAAATGGTAAGTCATGAGAGTTCGGTATTATATGGCTATTCATAATTCAACTAGAATATAGACGACAAGGAAAAGCAATGGCCATATGGTATAAATTGGCAAAGGGTATGTCCTAATATCTTATATTTTGACACAAAAAAAAAGCCGAACGCATGGCTAAATCAGCTTCCCAATTCTAACGAAAACTTTTGTGCCAAAAGGACCCAGTCGAGAACTAGAAATCCGAGAATTTATAATTCGCATAGGTGGTGAGAAAACAGTAAACATCATTGTTTAATACTGAATTATCTAATCGAATATTCGTGAACATACAAAAACATGGTTTGACAGATCTACAGAATTTGGATGTGTTCAGTTAAAACGCAGCAAGGCAAACATACTTATATTCAATATGTACCATTTTTTAACATATACTTTAAGACATCTATTGTTTAGGCTAAGCATGTGTTGTGAGAAAAAATTAAGAAATTTCGTAGGATTAGTCTTTATTAGCTTTAAGTTGTGCAATTAGGCCTGCCCTTTGGGTTTCTGTAACATATTCAGTTAGATCTGGAGACATGAAATCAACAGCTTTCGGTATCCGGAGATAATTCAACACCTTTCCTTTACTCGTATGTAAGTCACCTGGATTTTTCGGTTTCCTGAAATCGTAACACTATGGCAGTAAAATAGTATCATACTTTGCTGAATCTTTCTGAGCTAGAGATGCATAACTCGGTGGTCCTGTAGTACTGTTGGACAAACTTTCGTAACTAGTGATTATCCATTGTCATTAAAGTTAATCAAACATACTCAATCTCCACATCTTTACATTCGATCTAAAATGGTTACACACGAATTGATAACTTACGGATTCATCGCTAGAAACTTCTTCATCCATTAGATACGGCATAGTCTAAAATGTTAAGTACCTAATTAAAAAAGGAAATGTCATAAAAATCAGATTACGTAACTCAGGGATAAATTCCTTACTTTAGAGAGACGAAATGAAATAATCTTAGCGAACATCAGATAAAGTTTTTATTGTTTATTTATTTTAACACAAGGAGGCACCAAATACATATGAGCCACACAAATCTCATTTGATATGTGTGAGGGCTGTGATACTGCCTGGGTGCCCAAACCGAAGCAGACGGTTTTCTTAGGGGGCCACACCCGGAGCCTTCGGCCTGAAAGTCTGATCCACAAGGTAGTGGAGCGTCGTAAGGAGATGCAGTCCCATGGTAACCAGTGACCAACAATTGGTTCATACTCCATTTGTTCCTTCAGGATACTGGAGCCCATGTGCACCATTGGTTTGGAATCACGGTTTTCCGACTCCCCTAGATAAACTTACCGTGCCCACCGGCCCGGTTAAAGCGCTGAACATTCGCTTTTCGTCCTCTCGATTTCGTAAATAACACCCCCGCCACGAGAAGACAGTGAGTAGAACTTCTCTGGCAGAGGCTATATACGCGTGGCCATGTGAGAGCATTTTGAGAGGGAGAGCGGACTCTCCTCACTGTCAGTCGTACCAGCGTATTCGGGGCAGATAAGGTACAAAATGTGTATGATATAAAAGATTTTTTACACCTACATTCGGTCAACGTCGGGGATAGCAAAAATTTTGGTCGATCTAAAACGCTATGTTCACATCAGCACCGAAAACGGGAATTAACGAAGTGAAATTCAAATGAGTCGTAGTATCCATGGAAGGAAAAATATTTACTACATACGGGAGATATACTTTGATAAAGAAAAAGAATGAATTAGAAACTCAAAATAATGGCAATAATTCAATTTACTACATTTTAGATTTACACTTATAACCAATCCAAAACTAGTGTTATTTCATCATTATTATGTTAGCTATTTCATAAATTGTCATGTAAACTTAAGTCTTCAGCAGGACCAATATGAGACAAGAAACGTCGATACAAATGCTAGGAAGGGATTGGGAATAGGTGTTAGGGTTAGGTGTTTCCATAACGAACTGAGATGAACTATACTAAAGAATACTATAATCACGGTACAATCTTAATCCCTGACAAATCACGTCACTAGTCTGACTTTGACGTCTTATGATATTCCGGAACAACCAACATCTGTAATTCTGAGTGTGTACTTCATATTAACCAAATATCACTGGAAACTCAGTTAAATAGCCTTTAGCTTCACTGACGAGTTAATTGCGGCGATACTATACCAAACTAAAAACTCACCTAGCTGCAGTCAAATTTTATTACAACCCCAAATCTAGTTGGACTACGGAAAATGAAGGAGCAAAAACTACACGTAACGGCTCGCGTACTTTGTGTACTAAAGAAACATGCACAATAGCATGAAGATTGAAAAAAAACTCAAAAGGACGAGACGACCTAACATGAAGCGCAGGAAGTGCACTTACATTTACCAAAGGAAGATACAGACAACACTCAGCACAAAAGTAATACCAAAACTGAGTCAACCATACCGATTTTAAAGTTACTCGCTTTCCACGACCTTGAGCGACCTAATGATAAGTGGTTCAGATGGTTCAAATGGTTCAAATGATTGTGGACGGAATAGAGGAAGCTTACGCTTTACGGGCTTCTGTGTGTAACAGCTGCGGATCACAAGTATCTCCAGGCAGTAACCTAAGTATATTAACGATAATAGAGGAAAAAGAAATGGGAAAATCATAGTGTAACGTTAAATAAATCACAAAATAAATAGCTCTGTAAGTTTTCGACAATGGGTGCTGACCACGTTAGTTTTATTGGGCTCACTTAGCTTAAGACACTTGGTCATGCATCCGTACCAGATCACGGGGTGGGAACGACGTGCTCAACATCCCCTGCAATCGCTAGCTAGATTAGATCAGTCGATCCTCGATACGTTGATAGCCGATCAAATATATATTCGAGCCTCCTCGCTTCTATCTTTCGATTTCACCTGGTGAGTACGATTCATAAAAGAAGGTGTTACCGGTTAAAGCGTCGCCAAACTCCGAATACCTGTGACATCTTAAATAGTGAGAAACTATCCTCTTAAAGGACTCCTTAGAAGTCGCTTGAACTAGCTCAGCCGGCAGCGAATTCTGACACTTGATAACTCTTAAGGAGTAGGAGGTATGCCTACAATCCGTTTTGATGTGTTGTGTCTCCAGTTTCTGTGTGTAACCCCCCAAGTTTGTGTTGGAGATAAACTTAATTAGATTTCAATAATGTAACTAGAAGACGAAGATTATCAGAATTATGTGATATATTAGCGCAATACATTTTGAACAATCTGGTCACACAAATGGTCATACAAATGTACCTTTGAAAGAAACCATTGATATATTATATGATTACATATCTGTAAACAATCTTAAATTGTGTCCCTCTAAAAATTCTCAAAGATTTACCCTTATTATGTACTGACAAAGTTCAGTTCACTTTTGAAGGTGAATACTTTCGTCATATTGATAAAGTTGCTATGGGTAGTTCACTAGGATCATTATTAGCAGTTTTGTTCATGGCACATGTTGAAAATCAGACTGATGATCTAATCGGAAACATTTCACTTTATAAGAGATACATGGATGTTATCTTAGTTGTTTGTGAGAGAAAAGAGGATATGTACTGCTTATTAAATAAACTTAACACTCTCCAAAACCATATTAGTCTCGCATGTGAAGAGGAGAAGAACGATCAGCTTCCCTTCCCAGATATACTTCTGAGTAGACGAGAAGATGGCTCAGTCAAGCGATCTATTTCTAGAAAACCAACGTGGACAGGTCAATATCTTAGTTATTATAGTTATTGCCCTGTGCAATACAAAAGTGGTTTGATCAAGTGTCTTTTCAACAGACTCGATCGTATTTGTACAAACGACGCCATTGATAATGATGTTAAGTTGTTAAATAAAACGTTAATAGAAAATGGCTATCCTCTGAAATTCATAAATAGATGGAAAGTCCATTATACAGCGAGACCTATTGTAGCCTCGATAGAGAAAAAGACCCGTCTATATCACTTCACCGTTCAGAGGTGATTCAAATAGCCTTTTATTGAAACAATGACTTAAATCAGTTATCAATAAAACATATTGCGTAGCAAAGGTCATCATCAAAGAAAGAACAAGGTGCATACTTCATCCAAAGCCTTGTAGAATTATGGTACTGCTCTAATGACAGACCTAATCCTAAAATTGTAGATTTGTCATGATACAACTGCCTAATCTATAAGATCTTACGTGGAAGTCACACCATCGACTACACCAACTCACTGTATCGTATCAATTACCAATACATGATGTAGAACAAGGTTGGGCTACAGAAAGAACAATATATTTAATATGAATAGAAGATATAAGGTAACATTCAGCAGGGACCACGCCTGCATGGCTGAGCCATGCCATCCGATCAACTCTAATTCACTCAATACATTCTTCCCGCTTTCTCCGTCGTTAAGTATTTTTCAGCGTTAAATATTGAATATCTATTTTCCGAGTAGTCTCGTGTTCAGCTTGGAAGATTGTGTGGTTATGGTCCAATGCCACTACAGCCTAAAAGACATGAAAACAATTGTGTCACATCTCACTGCGTTTACCGATCTAAATGTGTGTGTGGTCACACATACATACGAAGGAGCAATCGTGATCCCAACATTAGGGTGAGTGAACATGTACCAAATGGCTGCAGAAACAAATACAATCAGGTGACCCAATAAGAGCAGAGGATAAACATCCATCATCCTCTATTGCTAAACACATAATTGAAAGAGGTCGCAAGATTGATCCAAACTCAGCTTTTGTGGTATTGTATAAAAGTGTAAAAGTGCGTATACTAAGGTTTATTGAAGCCTTAGCAATACGAAAATTCAAACCCTCTTTGTGTGTTCAAAATCAGTTTGTTCTTAACTTTAACATACACTGGTAATATTGACTTATTATCCAGAATGATTAGGTTTCGAATTGTATTCACATTATTATTATTACTCTTATCATTATCCTTATCTCCTCTTACCCCGTTTCCGGTTTAGTTGACCTTTTATTTTTATATATAAATGCTCTTAACGAGTATATGTGTGACCAGATTTTTCGAAATGTATTGCCCTGATATTTCACATAGTTCTGATAATCTTCGTCTTTAAATTACATAATAGAAATTTATCAAAGGGACTTATTGTTTTAATTAGATTTACAAGGGGATGTTCAGAAGTGTTAAGGATGTTGTAAGTTCACTTCTAAGATACCTATACTCTTACGGGTAAAGGTTTAGTGATTAGAGGTGCTATGTGACTCGAACTTGAATCCCCGAACTGAATTCATGACTCGCCGTTGGACACGTTACAGTGTCCTTATTTTTCTGGAGTGTGGGAGGAAATAATATGTTCCAGTACTCTAAATGGAGACGAAAGAAACTGTTGGAGATTATGTAGGAAGTTTTTCCGTCAAACTGGCTAAAACTGCTCATCTATGTTGCCAGTGCAAAGTTTGCTCAAAAGGCATTTTTATTACAGAAATCGTAAGGTACCAGCACTCCTAAGTCTTTTTTAATATGGGATACTTTTAAAGGGCAGTCGACTAATTTATATCTGTAGTCTGCAATATGTCTCAGATGAACTACTTTGCACTTTGAAGTGTTAAAGGTAAGTCCGTTATCATCTGCCGAAACATGAAGTAGAGTTAGATACTCCTGATATGCCAGCATATCCTCTTTGTTGCGTGTCTCTCTCTCTCCAAAGTTTCGCGTCGTCAACAAAAAGTAATACGTCTGACGATACCTGTTGTGGAAGATCGTTTGTATAAATCAAGAAAAGAAGAAATCCCAGTACTGGACCTTGAGGGCCTCACTAGTGTATTCCATAACCCCGACCTTAAATATCTGTCTTTTTAGATATGAAGTTAGCCAATCAATTAAAGATTATTCGATACCTAATCTTTTGAGCTCATTGATAAGACCGCTTTGAAAATAGACGGAAAATCTAAGTATTAGGTTAGCATTCTATCCTTTTCATATAGCAATGAGTGTATATTCAAAGTATCTACGAGTTCCTATAATGAGATTTGCACGACTCACCAGTAAGAATTGCACTAATAAATAGTTTGCGGTATTAACGGTTTTATCTTGTAATGACCGACAAGATATATTGTCAAAAAGTAGTATTTGTATGGCACTTTTGTACTAAGTCATGTACTCATAAGCACTCAGAGCAATATCACATTATTGAACCATGGCAGTTGAGGAATGTGCTTAAGATTTTCTAGTACGATAAATAAATTCGCGAGCTTCACAATGAAGAATTTTCCTTCAAACCAATATTTATGAAGTCATTTGGCGACCAGAAACACAGCTAGTTCCTCTCTCTGTGTTTGCTAGTAACCTTGTTCAGCAACAGTAAGCGTGCGTGAGACACAGATCACTGATCTAGCTTTCTGTCTCTAAACTCCACCAATACCTTCGCGTTATCCACCGGTAATAAGTACAATGTATATAATAGGATAATAAGTTCGAAGAACAAAACCATTTTGAAGAAACTTTAGTCAACTTCGTAAAGTTGGATGTTGTCCCTCACAACATTTTAATGAATCAGATGTCAAGAACTAAAAGAAATATTTAGCATGACAATAAGAATTAGGAATAGGATGAGAATATTATTGAAGAGCACCCTCTAGTGAAGATAATTCTGTTAAATTTCTCGGAGATGGTGCATTTGTCAGTGGAGTTAGTCGTTTCTTATACGGTTTAAAACCGTTACCATCATTTAGACATCACTGATATTCAAAACTAGATGCACAAAATGAACATATATTTGTGTTCACCGTAATATTCGAACCATGAAGTCAATTAAGAATATCTTCACCTCCCATCAACGTGCACGTTTTCTCCAACAATTGGGTATTCAATGTTAATCGATATGCTCTTCAGTACAGCATACACTATCAAATCTCAAAACCTTAGCTCAGTCGGACACGCTGACGTGCTGCATACACGCCTAGAACCGGACTTCGATGGCGACATATCCAATTGTGTTGGATCAGTTAGATAACATCTGAAAAGTAAAAACGCCAACTTGGTATTCGGCGAGATAACACTGTCGATCAATCGAAATGTAAGATATTAGACGTGGCTGTTTTCACTCTGTATCTTGACCACATCCATGCCAACAAAATCGTAAGGAAATCTTTCTTTTCATTTAAATGAAGCTCTACAAAACGTTAGTAGGATTATTGTACTGACCTCTTCGAGTTTTCAGTGTTTAGTGGCAAGGTGTTTTCATCAGTCAAAATGCTAGCTTGAAGCCTATCACAGAAATACATTTTTGCCTCATGACACTGAGTTGCTTTTCTAGCAGCACCACTGATTTCCTAATTTGTCTCACATAAGACTCGAATAGGAATGCTGAGAAACTATCTTAAGTTCAATGTACACGAACATCGTCAGAAAGCGCTGCAACAAATGCATATTATGCTAAGTTTTCAGACCCATAACACCATTAATATTCCTTAAGAAAATTCCGAGAATA